AGAATACTGAACCGATTTCGAAAGGTCACCTTGAACATGCGTTTTTAGTCTTCGATGCCGGCTGGCTGCGAGGTGACGTGTGCGCATCCTTGCAATTATAGTGAATTCCGACTTTCATTTGAGAGCGGGAAATTGGCAAGAATATGATTCGCTAAAGTCTCTCATCTACACTTTCACATGAGGGAGGCGTATCCAGATTGAGACGGATTACCAGAGAATCGTGCTTCCTGACAGGATGATGCTGAACGACTAACGCGCTTGAGCGGCGTGGATCTTGCGCGGCTGAGTTCCGCGGGAGCGGCACAGCGGCCGCGGACACGTCGTACGAAAGTCATGGAGGGCGCTGGCAGCTTATGGATCGTGCGCCTGAATGCATAGGCCGGCGCAACGGATCCATAGCTGCCAGGCGAAGCAGTCGATGAATTTTTACTCGATGCTTGGCGATACTATATCGATCGTCGAGATCAAGGATATCGAACCCAAGACAACAGTTAGATCAGCGAATCCATCGGATGCAAGATCCGTGATCCGACCAAAGAAACGCGCGCTGTTGTAAACCTCTGCTCACGCTGCGCGACCTGCTGAAACAAAGCTAGCGCTAACCACATTGGCAACCCCTGTCTGGCATTGCATCAATCTATGTCTATGGCGCAGTAAACCTAAGTTTTCTCGTCGCCACACTATACTTTGTGTAATGTAGATTGTACCTAAAGAATTTTGCAGTAGCAAAACAGTACTTTGCTCTGTCACCTTTATATGCGTTTCTTATGTTTTATAATTAATAATGGCGGGTGTCGATATTTCGGCACAGTGTTCACTCGCGGACGCGTGTCGTGTCGATATTGTCGGCAGCAGTGTCACTCGCAGATGGCACGTCGTGTCGATATTTCGCAACAGTGTCACTCGCGATGTGCACGTCGTTCGATATTTCGGCAGCAGTGTACACTCGCGACGGCACGTGTCGTGTCCGATATTTCGCGCACAGCTGTGCACTCGGCGAATGCACGTCGTGTCGATAATTATGGGCCAGTGGTGATCGCGAACGCACGTGCGTGTGGAATATTTGGGCAGCAGTGTCCACTCGCGATGCACGTCGTTCGATATTTGGGCACAAGTGTGAACTCGGCGATGCACGGTCGTGTCGAATATTTGGGCAGCAGTGTCACTCGCGATGGCACGTCGTGTCGATATTTGGGCACAGGTTTCACTCGCGAGTGCGCACGTCGTGTGATATTTCGGCACAGTGGTCCACTCGCGGACGCACCATTCGTGTCGATATTATCAGGCCAGTCAGTGTGCAATCGCCGACGCACGTCGTGTGATATTTCGGCAAGCAGTGTCACTCTGGCGATGACACTCGTGTCGATATTTTCGCGCACAGTGAGTCACTCGCGATCACGTCGTGCTCGATAATTTTGGCAGCAAGTGTCACTCGCGACGGCACGGTCGTGTGGAATATTTTTTTATGGACGCAGTGTCACTGCGATGCACGTCGGTGTCCGATATTTGGCACAGTGTCACTCGCGCATGACGGGGCGCGGTGCTCCGGTCGCCCTACACACGTCGTCGATATTTCGCAACATGTGTGCTCCGCAGACGCACACGTCGTGTGATATTTCGCAGACATGTGTCTGACTTAGTACTGTATCAACTGAAAAAACTACTGGACATTGACATTGAGATTTAGTGAGCTGAAGTGTTTTATCTCTCTTAACCATAGAAATAGGTATGTCAACTCCTTGCCCTTCACAAAACATGTATTCATAATGAAAAACAGGGACACGAAGGGAGATTTTGGTGCATTTTCGGTGGTCAAATTGGGACCGCACTGGTCGCATTTTCAGCAACTTTTTGTTATCGATTATCATAGCAGAGCTATAACTAGTATTATTTCGGCTAAGATATGTTACAACGCTTACCCAACTAGCCAAACGCGTATTAGTTTGTCCAATATCACTGCTAATTACTAAGAAATGTCTAATTGAAATCCGTAAATCTGGTAATCTGGCGCCAACGCTAAATTCGCCAAGCAAAATAGCCTCGAATTCCGTTTCGGTTAGGTGACATCACATGTTGCTATGGGTGTTGCGCAGAGAATTGTTTGTCCTGGGATGCTTATAACGACTAATGAGCTAGTTACTGCTAGTAGAATGTATCTCTGGGTGTATTCTTGGTATTGGGGCACAAGTAAATAACCGTGGGTGCTAATGAAAGGGTACCCACATGTCTTCAATTTCGGACACAGGTGTATTCGTTTGACCAATATAGTGTAGTGCCATCTGCTTTCCATGTTTAGTCTGTGGCTGTGGTTAGTGGTGATCCCCCCATAGTGTTGGCCTCCAACACAGCCTACTTGATTATCATGAGCAGTATGTGGGAATCCACGTTTCATACATATACGTTCATTACAATCAGAGCTACTATTACGTATACAGTTACGGTACTGTACTATCGCTAGCATTGCGTACGGCCGAGCATGCGTGCGAAAATGTCACGTGCACTATAAATCTGTATCACACCCGTTTCGCCGTATGCGGTTTCGAAACGGTAAACAAGTCAGTCAACTAATTTCTTGGACTGCGGATTTCAATTGGACATTTCTTAGTAACCAGCAGTGATATTGGACTAACTAATACGCGTTTGGCTATAAGGTAATGTACTTATTAACTACACAAGGTACCAGTTACTCTAGCATTCGTCAACTTTGCATAATCAATGGGCCTATTATGCCTTTAACCACTCGCGAAATTGTCTGTCAAGTCTGAATTCGCGAAAATATCTGTACGCGAAAAATATGGCGTATACAGTAGTTCGCCGCCGCCACCGCCGCCGCGCGCCCCGCCGCTCTCTCTCTCTCTCTCTCACCTGCTCCTCGCTCAACTGCAAGAACTCCTCGCCCTTGCATACCTCCTCAAAGTTCTGCAGCACGTACGCCTCTGCCTTGCCGGCGAGTTCTCGGCAAGCGTGCATTTCAGAGAAGCGTGCGATACCGATGCAGTTTGCGTGGTCGAGCTGCGCGCTCAGGTAGCGGCAGCACGCCTCCTTCAGCGTGCCCAGCTGGAGAAGATTGGCGACGGGCAGCAGGCTCTGCACGTTCGCTTGGCTGATCAACGGCTCGCCCGTGTACGCAAACTCGACGAGTCCCGCCATCGCGAGCGGCTCTACGCCGGGGAACTCGACCTCGGCCTGGTGGCGCTCGGCGAGACCGCCCGTGAACATCGCGGCGAAGTACGGGCTGCAGCTCGCCAGCACCACCTTGTGGGCGGGGATCTTGGCGGCGCCGACGACGAGCGTGACGTCGCAGAGTTCCCCGCGCTTGCGAAGGTCGTTCAGGCCGCTGAGAATGAAGTCGGGGTAGTAGCGTGACGCCAACGCCACGCCGCCGCCGCCGCTCTTGTTGTCGTTATCCATCATCTCTGTGAAGCAAGAACCGTATGAGCAGTGTGAGATGCAGGCCATGGATTAGGGTAGGGGTGTGGATACAGTACACATTCTATTATCTGAAATTCTGAAAACCATATTCATGTCTTGACACCATACTGAGGTATTCTATTATCAAGAGCGTATTAAGAAGGACCTTGTTAATATGCTCTTGATATTATGTAACAGATACTACCAGATGCAAAACTTCGCATAATTCGGATAAAAATGTATTCAACTCATTCAATATCTAGGTAGTATACCATCATCTTACTCTCACGAATCGAGGTTCAGTCGATTACCCCCCACCCCACAGTGACACACACACCCACCCACACGCACGCACGCACACACGAACGCACACACCCATCTCACGTAAATACGCATCAATCTAAAAGAAACACGACCACATAAATGACAAAACAAACCAACAACGCGCGTAAATCAGACGAAGAAGAACAAAAGAAAATGAAAGTGTCAATGACACTATAGCTCACCCTGGGTGTAATAGAAGAGGATGATGATATTTAAAATCTGGTAAGTGTTTCATTTATGATGGACCGAAATGTGATCAAATGTACTTACTCCCGGTTTTATACTAATAGAAATTTCTGTTTTTTTTCTGGGTTAGTTCTGCTGCGAAAATAAATGTTTCAGATGTGAAAGTCTGAAATCTGGGCGAGAGATGGCGCTACGCCTAAACGATCGCCATTTTGGTTTTCGATTATCACGCAAATAGAAGCAATAAACTATTCCAGTCACATTACTGTAATGAAAAATCTAAAACACAATATTACACGTAGGTATGATTAGGTAGGTAGGTAGTAGGTAGCAGGTAGGTAAATTTAACAAAATTGAATGAATCTAGATGGCCATTTTCATTTAAATTGCCAAAAAGTGGGCGTGGCTCTAAAGTAGGTCAACTGGCGTGCTCCATAATAGGACGTTCAAATCTCTCCCATAGGAGTAACAACTATGTAATTTGAAACATGTGGGTCAAACCATTCTTGAGTTATCGTTGACCGTAGGCAGACACTGAAATGCATGTAGTGAAATTGCTAAAATCTACCTAATTTGCATAATAAAAAAATAAAAAAACCCCTGTGATATGTTTTGGGGCCAGTCCTTATTCATTTACATACCAAAAATGAGTAAAATATGTTGAACCTGAACTGACTTATGGCCATTTCCATTTTTGCCAAAAAGAGGGTGTGGCTCGAAAGTACGTCAACTGTCGTGCTCCAAAATAGGACGTTTAAATCCCTCCCATATGAGTAACAACTATATGCAATTTGAAACATGTGGGTCAAACGGTTCTTGAGTTATCGGTGACCATAGGCAGACACTGAAATGCATAGTGAAACTGCCAAAATCTACCCAATTTGCATAATTTTTTAAAAATATGAAAACCCCTGTGATATGTTTTGGGGCCAGTCCTTATTCATTCACATACAAAAAATGAGCAAAATCCGTTGGACCTGAACTAACTTATGACCATTTCCATTTTTGCCAAAAAGTGGGCGTTGCTCGAAAGTAGGTCGACTGGCGTGCTCCAAAATAG